ATACTCTTATAAAAAAAAAGAAGGTAAACTTAATTTGTAACGAATACGAAACTATCGCTAGTCATGGTTTCCTACGTCATCATTGTTTCCTTCGGTTGAAAAATGGCGTCAGGCGAAGAGGATTGTCATAATGACCCGAATTTTGCTGTCGTATGTTCATTCCTATTAAATTTCGGCGATATATATGGACTAGAATTAACAATATCGGACATTAAAAGAATGCTAGAAGACACCAAAAATGGTAAGATCGTTTTGCCGTCCGATACGTTATATTTACAGTTTAGTCGGGAATATTAGGCCCGATTTAGGGTTCGTAAAGAACCATTCGGAAGAAGTAAATTCTCTACGAATTTAATCGGTATTTTGTCGACGTAAATAAATTCAAAAAGAGTTATTTTAAAAATGATTTCAGGTTTTGTTACTTGAAAAATCGATTGAAGATTCAAATTTTATTTTAGCCGCCAAAAGTTTTTAAGTCGGTCAAATATGAATTAATCGTTATCGAAGTTTTAAATTAATATTTATTCATTTTTTCTCTTACTCTTAATGTTTTTCACGTAAATTATTCGTTTGCTTAATTATTTAGCATTATATTTCGCATTTAAATATTCTCTTTATCTATGTAATTTTAAAAATTTAATTGAATATAAATAAGCGTTTTATACATACGCTCACGTTGGCGGATGTTTAACTTTAATTTTTGACAACGTGTTTGTTGCTTTGGGTTTGTTTTTAAATTGAAAAACAACACGTTCGGTCGCATTAAAATTAACCTTATTTTTTTAAAAATTTAATTAATAAAATTATGTGTATACAACCTGTATGATAAGTATTTAATTTATTATTAAAAAACATTTGAATTATTGATGTATATTACATTAATTAAAATGATATGTTTGAATTTTAAGTTGATTATATTTTTTTTGTTTTTTTCTAAAATTTAGTTGTGAATTTTTATTGTTTATAATAAATGACATCTCTTTATGTTGAATATATTTGATATGTTAAATGATTGTATGATTTTGATAGTAATTAATAATTCAGATAATAAATATAATGGGTTTACATCAATTAAATTACTTTCTGTATAAAATGCAAATAATAAAGCAAAATTTCTCATATAAATACTATATAAAGAAAAGAAAATTTTATAAAAAAAAAAATAGATAAATAAATTTTTCTCTCTTTTTTCTTTCTTTACTTTTTGTAAAATTTAGTTAACATTTTATTGTTTTTTTCTTTTAGTAATTTGTAAAATCAATGTAAATTTTATATGGAATGCTGTTCTTGATTTCATGAAAAATTTTATTGTAAATAATAAACTAATCTCATTATTAAATTATTTGTTTTATATATTTAATAAAGTAATTTGTTATAAATTTTAATTCAAAATTCTTTATTTTTTAAATAATTTTTGTTCTTTCTTTTTAGTTTTTTTATGTTTTGGTTTATTTAATATATAAATAAATATGCTTAGTGTAAAAAAAAACTCTAGATTTTATATTGGAATTATATAAATTACAAAATCATTTTAAAATATTTTGTAATGAATATAATACCAAATAATAATATCCAAATATTTATTTTCAATTTTCTTCTTTCCTAATAGTAACATAGTAATACTGTAGACTTGAATATATAATTGTTTTGATAGTGTATCAATAATTAATTTATAAGCCAACATTTAAGAATATTTAAAGTTATATAAATAAATTTTTTCAATCATTTTTAATTTTTTATTTGGTAAACTTAAAAATATATATTGATGTTAACTGTTAAGTAAATTTTAAATATTTTCTCATCCATATCTGAATCAATTATATTTATCATTTCAAAAAACAAATAACAATTTTTTTAAAATATAAAATAACATTTTATGAAGCTAGAAAAAACTTAATGCTCGATTTTATTTATTCAAAATTATCTTAAAATTGTAGTCACTTTACCTAAAATTAAAATGAAAAGTTAAATTATATATTATTTTGACATTGAAATATTTTTTTTAATATATTTTTTTCTTAGCTAAAATAAATCAATAATTACTTGTTTAAATTAATACTAAATGGCAACATATGCTATCCATTTCAACTTTATTATTGATACAATCAAATAGTAAGAATTAATTATTTATTTATTTTACATAATTTTGTTGGGAATTTCTTAACAAAATCCTCTAAATAAAGTATTTTTTAGTATTTGGAATGTATAAAAAATATTCTAAGCAAAATTTTATTAAATAAAAATATGCTTTAATGAAATTCATTTAATAGTTGATTTCAATTTTTTATTCTTTGGATATACCTGGAAAAATAGTCATGCTTTGCAAAATAACATAACTAAACATAGAATAAAAAAATAAATTAAACAATTTTCTAGGATTATATTATTTCAGGTGTGTTTTAAATTTGACTTTTTTTACTAAATAAGAATTGAAATGTAATAAAATTAAAATATTATATGAATCTAATTATTCAAAAATCTATACATTTATGTATTGAACAGATAACTTTATAAATGTAAATGTAAATAAATTTCTATACTTCAAAAATTTATGTATAAAACATATCAACTTTTCATTATATTTTACTTGAGTCTGTTTATTATGTATTACAAGGAAAAAATGTCCAAAAGTTTTTTGTTACTAAATTATTAAACATTTAAACCCAAATATTCAGCACCTTATAAATAGCATATTGTTTTATGACAAAATTTTAATATAATGCAACATATTAATATAATTTAAATTATTTGTAACTATGTATTAATTTTACATGAAACAACTAGAATTTTAATTATGCTAAATTGATATGAAAATAATGATTCAACAAGTTATTTTATAGAGTATAGACTTTTCAAATACATTACACATGATAAGATAGTGTTTTAAAATAAAATGATTGTATATTTAGATTCCATATAACATTATCTGAATTTAAAACAATATTTCATAAGGCCGAGAAGTGATATTTTATAATATACAACATACGCTAATATTTAACAATATCATATAGTAACTGGGCTGTTATGAAAGCTAAAATTTGACAAATTCTTTACTTTATGTCAACTTAGCATATAGAATAATTTTTGCATCTAATGCAAATTTTAATGCTTAGTAAAAACAGAAATAAATACTTTTTCAAAGTGTTTACTATATTTTTAATAAATAAATTTCTATTATTCAGCATATTTGTTCAATATTTATTTATTTATTTTATTTATTCAATATAAATAATAGCAATTGTTATTTTAGTTGGTTAAAACATCACCAGCAATTTTAAACAAATTGTTAAAAAAAAAAATACATATTAAATTATCTTGCCAAAATAACTAGACTTCTTCAAGTAGAATGTGATCCAGTAGAATATAGTTTTAAGTTTTAGTTTTTTACATGTTGTTCCTTGCTTACAAAGCAAAATCAGAAGCACATGGCTCCAGTCAAATTGACACCAGAGTTATTGTTTCCATGTGTTTTACCTGTTAATATGATATTAAATAAACACTTATATAAAATTTAAAAAAATTACCATATTTATTCAAATAATTCATGCCTTTGAGTAATTCACAGCCCTGTTTTTAAGATACTGGTTTAAAAAATGGAAAATACTTGATGAATGTAATTTATTACATATTTAACAAATTTTACTAATTTATGATTGTAAACAATAGCAACCTTCACTCTTTTGCTGTGTTGTAGCATTCAGGAAATGTAACATAATATTACAAATAATGGTGACACTCAGTTTACAAGTTCATGTGGTATTAAAAGAAAAAAACACTAGCAATGAGTTGCATAACTTTTCTGTCTGTTATGAGATTTTATTTTAAAAATAACTTATATATTATTAATCATAATAAAATTATGTAGGTTTCATCTGTTATGAGATTTTATTATAAAAAACTTTTTATATTATTAATTGTTAGAAAATGGCAAAAGCTTAATTTTGAGGATAGAGATGAGTTTTATAAAAAAAATTGTAAATGCTAATAATTAGTAAAGTCTTCATTAAGACAAACCCCTCTCAAGATATGATACATGATGTCCTTTTACGTCCCCATCCTCTCAACCTTTAAGCATTTAAATTTAATAGCATCAATGCCCCTTACACACAAGCTATCATGTCAAATTTAATTTCTTAATCTTCATCCCATCCTGAAATATTAAACAAAATAGATGATGTTAACACACACACACCAGAATTTTCTTGCCTTTTTTTTTTAATTTTTTGGGTTTAGAGAATTTCTTCCTATTCATCCAACAATAACTAACCTACCATTGCTTAAAAGAATATTGATCATAGATAGAGAGTCTTAGAATAAATTAGAATTATCAGGAGTTTATAATATTTCTTTACTTTATAACAGCAAAATTCTTTATTGCATAATTAATATGAATTTGCTGGTTTTAAATCTACTGACCCTTTTTAAATCATGCAATCCTATCTTATCTTTCATTATTTGAGCATTACAGTTTTTTCAAATGGAGAATTGCAGAACATGAAAAACATATGGACTACAGGAAATTACAAAAATTTGACAGCTTTCTTTTCAGTTAATATTGTTAGTACTCTTTGGAACTCCTAAAGGCAATAGATATTGCATTGAAACTCTTTACATGTAAATCTGTTAATATTCTTAGTTCATCAACTTACCATTAACCTTACATAGTGTGTTAATAGTGTGTTAACTGCTTACCTAGATATATTAAAATAATTTATGAATTATAGCTTATTATTTGTATAAAAATTTAAGATTATTTTGATTTATTTGTACTGTTTAATTATCTGGATTAATTATTTGTTGTATCATGGAATGTTTAAAAAAATTTGTACTGTATAGTGCAGGTAACACCATGCTTTTTGAAGAAAGGTCTAATGATAAAGGTCATGGTAAAATCATACCAAATCTCTTGCACAGTGTGTGGATTTTTGGCTGCCCAAATTCTGCAATTGTGCATATTCATGATACCATGCAGATGAAACTGAGCTTTGTCAGTCCACAAAATGTTCCATGGCCAGTTGTTGTCCAGTTCAGCAAAAAAATGAGTAAAAAATGCAGGGAAAATGACTCATGCATCCTGATCAGGACCAAGCAGCTGCTGAACATAGGAAATCTTATAAGGATAACAGTACAGAATTTGCCTTATCACTTTGAACACTATTTACTGGCTTGTTTAAAGACTTTTCAATATGCATGTGCTGCTTGTTTCCATAACATTTTTCATCGTTTCTTCCTGTAACATTT